GTCATCATAAAGACATCGCTGACGCTTGGAGAGTCGGCAGCGGATAACATGCTCATACTTTTTGGGCATCTGCTTCTCGACATCCACCTTAACTCGGCGCAGCAAGAAAGGTCGTAAAACCTAAAGCAAATAAGCAGGAGGCTGACAGGAGACAGTGGGTACTAAGCTCCAGCCTAGCCCCTCTAGCTGGGTCTTGGCCCCATGCCAGGTGAGTGCTGACTTAACCAGCTAACTATCATGGAGTCATGCAATATGCCAGATACCAATCAGATAAGAATAAATTAGAAGTAAGCCCTCTTCTCAAGAAACTCATTATCCACTGAAGGAGACAAAGACAACCATACCAAAACAAAGATACATGAGGAAGCAGTGAGAACAAACCAACCCTACACAAGAGATGACTCAAACTACATTTCAAGGAGTGAAACTGAGAATAAATATTGTGGCTTTGGGGCTGGGAGTGTAGCTCATTGGCAGAGTCTGTACTTAGCATGCATGAGGCACCAAGTTCAAACCTCAGCACCAAAACTAAAGCAGAAGAGAAAAAACAAATCTTTAATCTCAGTATATAAAAAAGTTCATAGAGAACACAATCTTCCATATCTCTAGTGACATGGAGAAGTAAAGGAAGAAAGGGAAATGAAGTGTAGTAGTTAAGGAAGATTTTCTGATTTCTATCTTGGTTTTATAAAACAATGTAACTGACCAAGAAATTATTTGGGGCTGGGGATGTAGCTCAAGTAGTAGCGTGCTCGCCTGGCATGCATGAGACACTGGATTCGATCCTCAGCCCCACAAAAAAATAAAATAAAGATATTGTGTCCACCTAAAACTAAAAAGTATCTATTTATTTATTTTTTTAGATATTTATGTTTTAGAAGTAGTTGGACACAATACCTTTATTTTGTTTATTTATTTTTATGTGATGCTGAGGACCGAACCCAGGGCCTCACACATGCTAGACGAGCACTCTACCGCTGAGCCACAATCCCAGCCCTAAAACATAAATATTTAAAAAAAAAAAAGAAAAAGAAATTATTAGCAATATTTGGCTAAGAAATAACAGGATGTAAAGGCCACAGATATTTGGCTGAGAAAAGAGTGAATTCAAGAGAAACTTTCTGGTTGTAGATGTAGCTCAGTGACAGAGTATCTGCCTCTTTCACAAGACCCTCAGTTTATCTCCCAGCACCAAAACACTCTCCCCCACAAAGAGGAACTTTTAATTAAAGATAGAAATTAAAATTTAGGTCAAGAGATCTAGAAACTCAAGGTGTTGTAATTGAAGAATTATTATCACATAGCCTTGGGAATGGTAATACATATGAGATACACAGACTGAAAAGAAAATTAAGGACCAGAATGTTGAAAGACATTGTTCAAAAGGTGGGAAAAAGAGGAGGAACCACAGACAACAGACCAAGAAAGAAAACATGAATGAATAAATAATGAGAATGAAAGAACACACACCAAAAACACAAAGTTGAGGAAACCCAGTGAAGAGAAATCCAATCAGGGGCCTGATTAATAGTATCATTTCTTTCTTTTTTTTTTTTTTAATGTATTTTTTTAGTTGTTGATGGACCTTTTTTTAATTTATTTGTATGTGGTGCTGAGAATGAACCCAGTGGCTCACCCATGCTAGGCAAGCGCATTACCACTGAGCCACAACCCCAGCCAACAGTATCATTTCATTCAAACAAAGTAAGGACAAAAACATCTCCACTCAAAACAAGTAGAATGATGACTCAAGTGAAGTCACTCTATTTAACAATGGGTGAGTCACTAGCATATTACTGCTTGACAAGTAAGTTCAGCCTAGTGCAGATTTCCCTCTCCCCACCAGGGTTTTCTGGTTATTGTCCTTAGCTCTTCACCAATACCCTTGGCAAACTACTACAGGCTCTACCTTGTGGAGGCGTTTGACTAATCCTTCATTATACTCTTGGCTGCCCTCAATCATGCCAGTTAGGGGGTTAGAGAACCATTCCTTGAATTCACGATGAGACTGGAAGACATGGGGCATCAAAAAGTGCATCAAGGACCACAGCTCCATGAGACTATTCTGCAAGGGAGTTCCTGTAAGGAGCAAGCGCCTCTGGCTGCAAAGAGACAAAGGGAATCAGAAGAATGGTCAGCAAGGTTCCAACCTTCTAAGTATCCTTAATATACTCCTCAACCCAGTAGTTCATCCTTCAGGTAAAGCCAATCCTCTCACAACTGCCCATCTCAATCGGTACCTATTAAAGTTCAGCAATGACTGCCAGCGTTGGGACTTGAAGTTCTTGATATTTTGAGCTTCATCCAGAATGAGATAGCGCCAGTTCTTGCGGCGGAAGGCCTGGTGGTCCTGCAGCACCAGCTTGTAAGATGTGATACACACATGGAAGGCATTGGGCTTGGTCCAGCCCTGAGGGACCAAAGAGAGAAAGTAATAGTGTGTGAAATGAAAATAAAACAAAGAGGACAAAGGGAAGACCAGTTAAGGTCCTCAAGGGATAGAAGTCACGTTGGAAGAGGATGGAATAATAGGAAGAGGAGAGAGGGACTTTATCTGAGGAAAAGGCCAAAACTGAAGAAAGCATCAATATAAGAAAGTAACCACATGGATGATCGAACCTGCCGCTTAAGCTTCCTCTCTTTCTGGGCTCCATAGTAAGTAAGGATTTTAAAGCTGGGGCACCAACGTTTCAACTCCATCTCCCAGTTCAACATCACACTGGTAGGAACAATGATTAAGTGGGGACCCCAGTTACCTGTTTAGAAAAAGAATTAAGACATAGTAAGGATAAGTAAGCTTTGCAGTTCTGGTTCCTAAGATATAACCCTGACCACCCTTTCCTAATAGCCCTTCCTAAGAATTCTAGAACCCACACTGTTCTCCCTACAGGGTTATTAACCAGAGTCAAATTAAGTACTTCACTCTCCTGCAGGTCAAGTCACCACCAAATAAACTCACACTGAGTTGGCCAAGAGGGCCCAGAAAGGGACCTCCCTGCTACTTACCTTTTTCACAGGCCAAGTGGGCAAGCAAGGAGATGGTCTGGATTGTCTTCCCCAGTCCCATCTCATCTGCAAGAATGCCATTAAGCTTCTTCTCATACATAGTAACCAACCAGTCAAGCCCAATGTGTTGGTACTCCCGGAGTTGGCCCCGTAGGAGCAGGGGGATAGGTGTCTTTACCTTACAGGGAGAGGAAATAAAAAAGAATCACCATAGTTGAAGTGAGGAATCTGTCACTGGAAAACCATAGTCAAGATATGAGAAAGCAGAACATGGGCCTGGGGATACCTGGGTAGTGGCCAAGGTGTAACCCTTGGGCTGTAGACTTTCAGCTGCTGCAGCAATGTCAGTAATTTCTTTCTTAGGGCCCAGAGTGGTAGTGGGCCCCGGGGTAGGAGGCCCACTGCCTCCATCTGCCTCACTCTGCTCTTCATCACGGGCAAGCAAGTACTCAACCCCAAAATCATCATCTTCCTCCTCTTCTTGATCTGCTTGGCTTTGTGATTCAGCATCTTCAGACTCATCAGATTCAGATTCCTCCGATTCTGAACTCCCACCTGTCTCTTCTTCCTCTGAATGCTCATCTTCCTCATCCTCACTCCGCTCCTCAGCAGAGTCTAAATCAAAAGACCAAGGTTTAGTGTTCCTCCAACACCTGCCCTCCCCAGTTCCTGCCTTATGACCACACCTTTACCTGACTGACTGCTACTATCCTCTTGAGGAGCTTCTTCAGCTTCTGTGGGACCCTCTAGTTCACAATCAGAGCTGTTAGCCTCAACATCCTCATCTTCATCTTCTTCTTCACTACTCCCAGAGCCTGCAGCAGAGGCATCAGAGGCATAGGCTCCTGCATACTGCTGCAACAATTCCTCCATAGATAGCTCACCTGGTGATAAAATAAAGGGTATGTTCCTGGTTGCTTTGAAGGGAGGGAGAAAGGGTTTAAGTGTTATCAGTTCATTTTATCTAGATCTCTATAAACATTACTAGGCCCAAGTCTAAAGGAAGACAAGAGTGTACTTTCAGTACCGGCTACCAAAGCCAAGTCCAACCTGGGATACAACCATGGTGGTGCTGCCTTCTTCTGAGAAGTATGTTATCAATCTGGTAAACTTCCTTTCAAGATTCAGGTCAAATATTGCCAATATCCTTTATTATACGGTGCTGAGGATCAAACCCAGTGCCTCACACATGCCAGACAAGTGCACTACCACTGAGCTACAACCCACCCCCACCAATATCCTCTTAAAGCAGCTCTTCCCTGCATTAAACTCCAATATCAACCTTCAAATTTCCACTATGAGTATTCAGCACTTTCTACTTCGTTTTTCCTTTATAATTCTACCTTTACCATTAGACCCAGAGTTACACCAGAGAAATAAAAAATATTTTAGGGGGGCTAGAGTGGTGACTCAGTGGTAGAGCGCCTGTCTAGCATGTGCAAGGCACTGGGTTCAATTCTCAGCACCATATATAAGTAAATAATATAAAGGTTCAATGACAACTAAAAATTTTTTTTAAAAAGTATCTTATTCATTGCTCTGTTCTAGACCCTGTGCATCAAGTGGATGCTCAGTAAAATATCAGGGGACTATCACCTTCTCGAGCCAACTCGCTCAGCTCCATGGCATGATCCACATCCCCTTCCAACTGCTCCTCAGCTGCTATAGTATCCTCTTCATCCTCCGCTAGGAGACAGAATGAAGCAGGATCAGGAAAGAGTCACAAGACAGTTCAAGAGAAAAAATGAAAAAGCCTGAAAGGTTAGGTCCAAACATTATTCAAGGGGTAAGGGGCAAGAGGATTAAGAGAATAGGGCTGACCTTCATCTTCATTGGCAGTAAACTCTTCATCATCTTCATCTGGATGCCAAGGTTGTTTGTTGTGCTGTGTGACAGAGGAAGGTGGGGGCTTCACCTAAATGGATGAAAAGGAGGGCCAGAGGTTAGAAGAGCAAGAGGAAGGTACAATGTTGAGTAAGACATCACAAAATGATCTCTGTTCCAATGAGTAACACCTGCCACTGCTACAGTACCAGGGGCAAGGACGCAATCAAGGGTTTTCTCTCAGCACCAGCTACCAAATCCTGTCCCCACTGCTGGGGCAGGATCTGTGAAAGTGCTAGGAAATAACAGTCCCCAACAAATGGACGTATGGATATACACAGCACACAGGTCCAGAGAAGACTTCAAGGTGACCATCCCAACACTCAACTTACAAACTAATACAAGGAGTATTATGGTCATTTCACAGAAGTGACAAGGAATAGCCAAAATAAGACCACACTGCAATTTAGAGTACAGTAAGTAAACTCTTTTCACTATAACAGAAACTGCTAACTGCAGGCTAAAACCCAGATTCTTTCCTAGCCACTCCTAAATTAGAACTCAACTGTCCTTAACCAGGGAGAACTCTCAAAAATACATTCAACATCATAGCCCAGAACTCAAACCTGAAATTCTCCCAGTGCTTCTACTCTGAACCCTCCCCTCCAACTCCCGTTCCCATACCTCCAACACCTGAGAAGGTTCTTCTTCAACACTTTCTTCAGGCCCATCTCGTGTGTCACTATCATGAGAGGAAGGGGTTTGAAAGGGGCTAGAAGGCCCTCCCAACAGTTGAGGGGGGAGAGAACGGAGAAGCTCTTCCAGGGGCAGTTCTCCCTCACGTCGAAGCAGCTCAATCTCACGCCTCTGGGTCTCTGCATCATTGCCTTCCTGTTGTTCTTCAACCTCAATGGTTTCCTCATCATCTTCCTCCTCCTCCTCTTGGGGCTGGAAGTCCCCATCTATAGCAGGAGAACAAGGTCACAAAGTCCACGGGCCCTGCAAGCCACAGGGTGGGTTTTTCAGCTCTGGAAAGGGTATGAGGGGAAGAGTAACAGGGCCAAAGAGAATACACACCTTCATCATCCAGCCGGGAAGCAGTGGGTGGAGGACTGGAAGCAGCTGAGGAAGAGCCAAGGCAAGGGGAAGAGCCAGCTTTGCTGGAGGCTAGTGGTTGGTTGAGGCTCTGAGACAGAAGGTCTGAGTACTTTTCAGTTTGCCCCACAATGAAGTCCAGATGGAGGTCCAAGGCTTTTTTGCGCTTTTCCTCAAGCCGGGACTGCTGTTTGAATTGCACCACCTGCCACCATCATGAAAGGGACTGCTCACCAAAATAACCATGTATATACTCTTTTGTCTAACTTTAGGAAGGCCTCCTCTATCCTAGACCTTGGGCTGACCACTCAAGAAGAGCTAAATAGTTTTTAGGAGGTTTGAGATGTATAACTCAATAGTAGAGTACTTGCCTACAATGCACAAAGCCCTGTGTTTGACCCTCAAAGCCACAAAAAAAACCAAAAAGAAGAAAAACCCTTAAATAATCTGAAGGATCTCATGATTTAATAGCATACTTCTGAGGAAAGCATAAAAGGAATAGAAGGAATAGAAGAATTTAGACTTCACCAGCTCGGGATGATTTACAGATGAATCTGGAGCTATATCTTAAAACATGTGGCACTGTGGTAGCTCAGTGCACAAAGCCCTGTGTTCAATCCCCAGAATAGAATAGGAAAAAAAAAAAAAAAAGGTGGGTGTTTCCTAAATACAAATGAGAAAAGTCTTCCCAGCAGCAAAAATATCTTGTGTAAAATGGTCAGAAAGATGTATCAACCTAAGATGAAAAAAGATTAAAAAAAAAAAGCACTGCAAGTATAATTCGGTGGCAGAGGCAGAGCAAGAACTTAGCATGCACAAGACCAAGACCTTAACTTCAATTCCCCAGCTTAAAAAAAAAAGGCAAAAAGCAAGTCAGGCATGGTGTTGCATGATTGTAATCCTATCTACTTGGAAGGATTACAACGTCCAGGCTAACTTCAGCAACTTAGAGAAACCTGTCTCAAAATAAAAAAATAAAGGACTGGGGATGTAGCTCAGTGGTAGAGTGCACTGCAGTCAGACATGATGGCACATGCCTATAATCCCAGCTCCTGGGTGGCTGAGATAAAAGAATCATATGAACCCATTAAGTTCAAGACCACCCTGTGCAACATAGTGAGATGTCATCTCTACAAAACTGGGCATGTACTAAATTCTGAATTTGTATGTATTTCTTCATAGTTACTCTCTAAACAAAACATTGTAACCATGACTTATGTAGCATTTATGAATACATTATAAAGACTATTTTATTTATGAAGCATTTATTAATATTTTAATAAATATTTACCTAGCATTTGTGTCATACTAGTAATCTAAAGACATATTTTTAAATATTTATTTTTTAATTGTAGTTGAACACAACACTATACTTTATTTATCTTTATGTGGTGCTGAGGATCAAACCCAGGACCTTGCATGTGCTAGGCAAGCGCTCTACCCGTGAGCTACAACTTCAGCCCTAAAAATATTTTTTAAAGGACATGGGAAGATGTGGGTAGGTTATATGCAAATACTGTGGCCTTTTACATATTGGACTTGAGCATTCCCAGGTTTTGGTACCTGCAGAGATTCCTTGAACTAATTCCCTACAGATACTGAGGGAGGACAGAACTTGAGAAACCATTTACAACTTAACACATAGGCAATGGGAATTTTGATGGCATTCAAGAAAAATAAACACGTATATGACATAAATGTGTTTTAGAAAAAGCATGTTAGTCATGTGTGGTGGTGCATGCCTGTAATTCCAATGCACTCAGGAGATTGAGGCTGGAGGATCCAAAGTTCAAGGCTAAGGCCAGCCTCAGCAACTTAGCTAGAACTCACATTAAAAAAAAAAAAAGGAAGAGGAAAGTAAAAGCATACTACAAGCCTTTCAAAGAACAAATGAGCCAAGGAGTCCTGTTAATAATCCCCAAAGGCATGGCCCTTATCTTGCCACCATATTTCCTTCTTTCTCACAGCACTAAATGCTAAAAAGGCCCAATGCACAAGAGAAATGTCATTAGAGTTCCTTGAAATTATAATATTCATTCTGTCAAGGAAAGTTTTCATCATTCCTACTATCTTACCATCCTCCAACATGATCTAGGACCATTTCCTTTTTCCAATTCCCATCACTTACCTTTTCCACATTACTCCAGAACTGTCTGACATCCTTGGCCATAGTGGAAGCAATTCGGCGCAACTTTGCCTGTTCTTCCCTCCGAGCCCGTTCCTCTTTCTGCCGCTGCTCCTCGTGGTGTCGGATCACCATGCGCACCACCTAAGAATAAAGACCCAGAGTGAAAACACTCAAAGCCAGACCTCCATATCCATCCAACCAAAAGCAAAGGCCAAGAAATACAGGATGTTAGGTTTGCCTCTTAATTCTATAAGCATCAAAAAAATGTCTACACCATTCTGTTTGGCTCTCTTCCAACTAAGCTACGCATTAAGGGAAAGCATACCTGAATGGAAGGTACACCCAACTGAGAACATACCTTACGGGCCACACCCCGTTTCCATCGGCGCTCCTGAGCAAAGTCGGCAGAGAGCCACTGCATCTCCTCACACAGGTAGTCCCAGTGGCCCTTGGGCCGAGGGGGCTCTGGCACCTTAGGCAACCTCTTCAGTGACCAGAAACCCTCTTTCCGCAGCTCAGCAATCCGAGTCTCAATTTCAGCTTCCTAATGAGGGAGAGTTAGGTCAACAACTCCTAGAGATGTACAGGCCATCTCATTACAATAACTGAATTCCTGAGCACTGATTGGGCCGAGTATGCTATGCTTATATTGTGTCCTATGCCAATCTTCAGATGAGGAGAAACAAAGATCAGAGAGATTAAATGATTTGAATGAAATCATAAAACCAGATAGTAAAAGTTGGGAACCAAAAAAACAGTTCTAAGGATTACAGACAACATTTCATGTGATTTCCATTCTTTCGCACAATTTCCATATCCTGTGGATACAGGTGAAATTTGAAAAAACATATGTTTTTTCAAGCAGGGAGTATATTTCCTTCTCTCTTTCATTTTTTTTCTTTTTTTGTACTGTAAATTTAACCCAGGGACGACTGAGTTATACCCACACCCCAGCCTTTACTTTTCTGAGCTGAAGTTGCCAAAGCCAGCCTCAAATTTGAAATCCTCCCACTTCTGCCTCTTGAGTAGCTGGGATTACAGGCTATAAAACCATGCCTGGCTGCTTACTTCTTAACTCTAGATAAAAGGGCTCTTTATTACTGTAGAATTCTATTTCCTCAGGATATGTTCAAGCTGTATTAAGATTATAAATATGGTACATAACCCAATTTACACAATCATCTTTCTGTATTTAAAATCATTCTGGGGGCTGGAGATGTAGCTCAGTGGTAGCACTTGACTAGCACATACAAGGCCCTGGGTTTAATCCATACCACCACCCAAAGAAAAAAAAAAAGGTAAAAGCACAGTTTTATGTGAAAATACTTTTAAAAGCTACACATAAAAAGATTAACAGTGATTAGGTATAACAGAAATACAATGAGATAGTCATCATTACTAAAATTTCTACATTGATTAAATTTGTAGTAAGATAAACATTAAAACCCTCTGAAATGTTTTAATAGCGGTGGCTTAAAAAATCCAAGACAGGGCTGGGGGTTGTGGCTCAGTGGTAGAGCGCTTGCCTAGCATGTGCGAGGCCCTGGGTTCGATCTTCAGCACTGCCTATAAATAAAGGAATTCTGCGCAACTACAACTAAAAAATAAATAAATATTAAAAAAAAAAAAGGAAAAAAACCTATTTCCCTAACAAGTTCCCAGGGACCACAGAAATAATAAGTACAAATAAGTACAAACCAGTGAGCATCACCATTTACAAAGCACTTTCATGTCTAATTCCTTCTTTAATTTAAACCTCGTAACAGAGCCAGGATGTAGTTGTGTGGAGGAGTACCTGTCTAGTACTCGTGAAACCCTGGGCTCAATCCCAGCTCTGCTCAAAAAAAACAAAACAAAAAAATAGAAAGAAAAAAGAAAAGAAAGAAATCCCAGCAACTTGGGAGGCTGAGACAGGAGGATCGCAAGTTCAAAGCCAGCCTCAGCAAAAGTGAGGCACTAAGCAACTCAGTGAGACCCTGTCTCTTAATAAAATACAAAACAGGGCTGGGGATGTGGCTCAAGTGGTAGCGCGCTCGCCTGGCATGCGTGCGGCCCAGGTTCGATCCTCAGCACCAC